TTATTAATAAATTGCTCTGCTGATTGTTACAGGGAACTGGCATCCCTCCAGGACCTCTCTCATTATGATACATTTGGGTTGCCTGTTTTTCTCATAATCGAATACCACAAAGAGGAACCCAAGAGAGTCCTCTTAGGCATCTTGGGAAGTTGTTAAGCAAGTTCTGATTGCCCTCAGAGCAAGTGAAAAGCAGCTCCCATGTTCTCAAACTTCCCTCCTGTGGGAGAGAGGGCCTCTGTTGAGTGGGAATAGTTTCTCAATGATGGTTTAAATAGAGATTGTCAAGACCTGTTCATCTTTTAGAAACTAAACTATTTATAGGTAAATGTTGTAATGTCTGAGATTTCCTTTAAAATACTTGCAAGGGGCACCTGGCTGGCACAGTCAGTAGAGCATGCCACTCCTGATCTCAGGGACATGAGTTTGAGTCCCACATTGGGTGCAGAGATTACTCTAAAATGTAATAAGGAGATCCCTGGATGGCTCAGCAGTTTAGTGCCTGCCTTTAGCCCAGGGCATGGTCCTGGAGTCCCGGGATCAAGTCCCGCATCAGGCTCCCTACATGGAGCCTGCTTCTCCCTCTGCCTGTGTTGTGTCTCTCTCTCTCTCTCTCTCTCTCTCTCTCTCTCTCTCTCATGAATGAATGCATAAAAAATCTTTAAAAAAATAATAAAAATACACAACAACTAAACAAATACCCCTAACAAAAGAAACAATAAAAACAAAAAACTGGAGGGGATAAACGAAACGTGACTGGCAAAATGTTGAAGTCTACACAGTGGTTCATCATAGTGCTCTACTTTTATGTATGTTTGACAATTTCTATAATGGAAATTTTCAAGTAGGTGTATATAAGAGGATTCTTTATCTCCTACATGTATTTAACAGTTATTTTCCTATGTATTAGGATTCTTTCGGTTATAAAGGATAGAAACTCCAATTTACACTGGCTTAAACAAAGATTCTTGTAGCTAAAGAGTCAAGGGCAGTTCTAGGTATCAGGTGATGCTTGATCCTACCGCTCCATGGTGTTATTACCAGGACCATTTATCACTTGCTCTGCCTCCTGTGGTGGTTGGTATCAATCTAAGGACCCCGTGTCTCCCAGTTTCTGAAAGACTTCCAACAACCACAGGGTTACATGTATCATCCAGCCAGAGCTGGATTTGTCCTAGCATTTCCAACAAAAGTCCTGATGAGATCAGCTTAAGGTCATATGCCTAAACCTGAGCCATGTTCCTTCCAGCCATGGAGGTGGAAGGAATCCTCCTTTATTAACTTAGGTCACATTTCACTCCTAGAAATCAGGGTCAGGAACCTCACTGATCTGCAAATGGAATCAGTGTTTTTGGGAAAGAGGAAAGGAAAATGGATGCTAACAGGCAGTCAACAAATATCTGCTAAACTCCCCCAAGTGTAAAGCTTCCTAGGCAATAGAATAGAGGACATTTTGGGATATCTTCTAAAACTGAAATATAGATGTAAAGACATAGTCAGGGAACAGGGGCCTGGAGAGTCTGCAGGGGTGAAAGATGACCTTAACAAAAGGACAAGCAGTGTCTGGAATGGATGGGAATAGTGGAACTCTACGAGGTATTACCGTAACACCAAAAACAAACAAAACAAAACAAAAAACATTACAAGACACCTACAAATTAGTATCTCTCAAGAATATCGATTCAGAAATCCTCAACAGGGATCCCTGGGTGGCGCAGCGGTTTGGCACCTTCCTTTGGCCCAGGGCGTGATCCTGGAGACCCGGGATCGAGTCCCACGTCGGGCTCCCTCTGCCTGTGTCTCTGCCTCTCTGTCTCTGTCTCTCTCTCTCTCTCTCTCTGTGTGTGACTATCATAAATTAAAAAAAAAATCCTCAACAAAATACTACCAAATCAAATCCAACAGTGTATAATAAGAAATATACGGTGGGGATGCCTAGGTGGTGCCGTTGGAAGAGCATCTACTCTTGGTTGTGCCTCAGGTCATGGTCTCAGGCTCATGAGATCAAGCCCTGCATTGAGTTCTGTGCTCAGGATGGAGTCTGCTTGGATCCTCTATCCCTCTCCCTCTGCTCCTCCCCATGTGCAGTCTCTCTCTCTCTCTCTTATTTTTTTTTAAAAAACAAGAATTAGATAATATGACTTATTCCAGGTATGCAAGGCTGGTTTAACATTCAAAAATATATTGAGGGAAGCCTGAATGCCTCAGTGGTTGAGTGTCTTCCTCTGGCTCAGGGTGTGATCCTGGGATCCAGGATCAAATCCCACCTCGGGCTCCCTGCATGGAGCCTGCTTCTCCCTCTGCCTGTCTTTGCCTCTCTCTCTCTCTCTCTCTCTCTCTCCCTCTCCCTCTCCCTTTCCCTCTCCCTCTCCCTCCCTCCCTCCCCACCCCTGTCTCTCTCCACCTCTCTCATGAATAAATAAATTTTTTTTAAAAGATACAGATTTTCACCGTTCAGAATATTAACTCAAAATGAATTCTAAACCTAAATGTCAATGATAATAAAACTCCTGGTAGATGATATAGGAGATAACCTAGATGATCTTGGGTTTGGTGATTACTTTTTAGATACAACACTAAATATACAGCTCATGAAAGAAATAAATGAAAAGGTAGACTTCATTAGCATTACAAACTTCTACACTGCAAAAGACAATGTCAAACAATTAGAAGACAAGACAGAGACATGTCACAGACAGTGTTTTCTGAGTATCATTTTGGGATACACTGAAGGACCTAGATTTCTAAGGTCCTTTCCAGATCCTTCTATATACATCCTCCATGGCAGGAGAGGCTCGAATACTTACAAGACTGCTAGGTCTATGTGATCCTTCAGGTTCTTCTTACCAGTAAAGCAAATGCTAGAGAGCAGACATTACCAGGAGGAGGAGCAACCTGAGCAGGGGTGATATTCCGGCAGTGTACATGGAATCCACTCTTCCTATTCCAGGGTGAAGATCTCTGAGCCTTGGGTTTGAGCATTCATGCAGATAAAATGATAGCCTTGGATAATCATAGGTCCCCACATATAATTCTCTGTGTGATCTTTCAGAAGACTTGAAGCTCTTTTCTTCTACCTTTTTGGGTAAAGAGCAAGACTAGGACTCATGGCCATCACAACCAATGAAGCACTTGATACCTCAAGAAGGAAGATTATTGAACCAGTCAATGTTCTGAGTAACCAAAGCTAATGTGCAGGTGGCCATTGCATTGCAGCCTCTCCCCTTTGTAATATTCCATTCCTGTGTTTATTACAGATGATAATGTGTCAGTCTTGTGCTTGACACTGAAGAGTCAAGGCTACATGAGACACAGCGCCTGCGCTCCTCATGCTTACATGGGGGAAGACAGACAAAACAAGTAAACAATCCAAACAACTCTAAGTGGTAATGCATGTTATGATGGAAATATATACAGTGCTCAGATGGATAAGAGCAGATATGACCAGTACCTGAGCAAAAGGAAGAGAGAGCCCTTGTGCAACTTTGGATTTTAAAATTTGGGTGTTTCGAAGAGATCATAGAACTCAATATTGCAGAAGTGCCTCTTCATTGAAAGAACAAGAGCAGTAATACAAGCTTCAAAAAGTGCTTAGCGGGATCCCTGGGTGGCGCGGTGGTTTGGCGCCTGCCTTTGGCCCAGGGCGCGGTCCTAGAGACCCAGGATCGAGTCCCACGTCGGGCTCCCTGAGTGGAGCCTGCTTCTCCCTCTGCCTGTGTCTCTGCCTCTCTGTGTGTGACTATCATGAATAAATAAAATCTTAAAAACAAAAACAAAAAGTGCTTAGCATTCTTGCTCTCCAGGGGAATGAAACACTCTTCTCATAGTTCCAAAAGCTCATCAACCCCCGCATTTTAATTTGATTCCAAGCTCTCCTCCTGACCTTCCCCTCCAGCAAAGGCAGTGGAGGTTCACAAGATCAGTGTGAGGTTCCAGATCATGTCTGTCTAATGGTGGGGAGAACTCTAGGTCTGGCAGTCTCTGCACTGTGGCCACTTAGCACAGTGCAGAAAAGAGGTTGAGGACTTGGGGAAACACAAGTCACCAATCCAGTTCTCAGAACCAAGCTTGCAGCCACTGTAAGGCTGTTATCTGAACCATATGAAATGGAGCATCTTCTGGATTATCCTAGAATCATTTGGTTATAAAGGATGTATTTCTGAGAAATTTAATACCTATGTTTCAGGCTAAACCTGGGGTTATGTGTTACACTTTCTCTTTAAACCATGTATAAATACATTTTGATTCCATGTTGCTTTTTTGGTAATCTGCTCTCATTCATGTGAGGAAGCTACAGAAATTCCTTCTTCCATTGTGCACATGTCCAACCCTAATCCTAATCCTGAGTTGTGGAACACTGCTGCTGGTAACTGGCTATGCAGACACTCCGATAGAGGCTTCTCACTTCTCAACTGCAATGTCCTGCTCCTGCTTTCCTGTAAAACCTTCTTTCCAACCACTTGGTCCAGAGGGCAGTCACCTTCGTGTCACCAGTCAAGACAAATGTGCTTCTGTCCTAGGTCCTGTGTAATTTGAGGCAACTCACAGAAGCTATGAAAGAGGGAATTACCAAGTGATTGCTTAAAGTCTCCTGCACTCATGGGAGGAATGAAAAGCAACCTATCCTCTCTCTAGCCCATTGGTCATCTTATAGACATCTTATAGACAAGGACAGTGGAGCATGAGGAACAGAGAGCAAGGAAAGGGGAATGAAACCAGAGAGGGAGGGAAAGATAGATGGTTGCTCCATGCACTTGAAAAACTGACCAACCTGGACTTGTCTCAGGTAAAAAATCAGTCCTTTCCTATTGCCTAGTCTTGTCAGTTCCTCAGCGTGCCTATCCATGTTACATGAGCTCAGTGGGCCATCTAGGAGGCAAATATCTTCTAAGGGCAAAGTCCACGTGGACTGACACAGAAAAGGTTCCAGAACTCTAGTAGAATAGCCACCTCTGCCTGGGCAGACAGGGTATGCTGCGAAAATACACGGCACCAACATCTCAGTAGTTTAACAGAAGTTTATTTCTCATTCCCATAAAGTCCATTACAGGTGCTCTCCATGGAGGTGGGGGGCTCAGGATCCCAGACGACTTTGACTTTTTGTGGCCCGTTTCTATAAGGGCTTCCACGACTGATGCAGGAAGAACACTACAGAGTCCTGCACCAATAAACAAAAGCTTTAGCCCAGAAGTGGGGCTTCTGCTCACAACCCATTACCCACAACTATCCTTCGTCTGCAACTGCGAGGAGAAAACCATAACAACTCCTTTTACTCTTCACTAGAACACTGGCCCTGTGAGGGTGTATCTTTAGCTCTTTTGCTCACTACTATGTTCTCAGTCTAGAACAGTGTCTGGGCACACAAGCGGCCCCCATGAAATCGACTGAACATAGCACCAAGATGTCCACCTGTATCCTGGGATGAGATCAGGGTACCCAAAGCCTAAGGATGAGGGCGATGGGCAATGGCTATGTATAAGGCAGCTTCATAGTTGGCTGTGCTTATGAAATAATACTTGGTGTAGTTCATCTGGGGAAGAAAATAAAATCCTGCTGAGAGCACCAGCTCAGGTGACTTACACCATAATGTACTGATGTACTGAGGCCAAGGACTAAATCAACTGAGCAAAATCACCACCTACAGTGCCATAAATACATCTGCTTCCTTACTGCAGTCTGCCCAGCAGATCACTGGGGAGCAGGGGAAAGGGAAACAAATGCACATGGGCTGAGCATCCACCACTGGCCAGGCTGTGAGGTGCCTCTTATCCTAGAATAACCCTGAGTTGAAAGAGAGAACATGGAGACTGCTGTGTTTTGGCAACCAATCAAGCCACAGGAATGTTCTATAGTTAGAAATAGATACAACACAATGTCACCCAGTGCCCTGCAGGGGTAACGTTCACATCCTGTTAATCCTGCCTTCAGGGCTCACTGATGCAGCTAAGGGACAGCTGACTCGCTGCTCTTGAACAATTCCTTGTATCTGAGCCTTAACTTCATCTTTCATAAGGTATTTGCAAGAGATCATTTAACCCCCTTCCTGACACCACCTAAAACCTCTAATAGGAACACATGCTGAGTCACTGTTGTAGACAAGAGTCCTAAGATGATCCACAGCCCATAGAGATGTTCAGCCATCTATTAGTTACCAATTAAGGCTGTTGTTAAATGCTGTGTACAGCCACAGGTGGACTCTGCCTAGTGATGATTTACAGTGAAAGACAATATGAATGCAGATTCACCCATCCTTGCCTACCACTCAGCATCATTTCCCAAACTTTTCCTCTTGGGAACCCAATCTCCTGCCACACCTAGTAAACCACATCCTGGAGGTAGCGCACATTCTACTTTCTATACAGAACCCTCTCTTTGTTCTTATAAATAAAAGCAAAAAATAAAAAAAAAAAGGCAAAGACCTAATTTGATCCTTAACTTCCATCGATTTCTATTTAGGCCCAGGAAAGTGCTAATATTTATGATTGACATTGTATGTGTGTGTGCTGGGGCGGAGGGGGGGGCGATACCTTTCTTTTTTGCTAACAATTCCTCTTTACATGTAATATATAATCCATGCCTAAAATTCCAAACCGTTTCCATGTGATCTTGGTATTTTCCTTTATCAATCATGACCAATAAGAGATCTAAGTTAGTACATTGTTACTTCTGGCAGATAACCTAATGGTGAGGTAAATAGCATTCTATCACTGTAAAAATGGTGCTAAAAGGCCTTAAGAGCTAAATTGTTCATGATAGAATTCAAATGATGTTTAACTATAGAAACTGTCCACTGACAAAGAAGAAGAAAAATCCAATTTGACTCTTGCAGAACTTGACAACAGATCTCATTTTTGTGCTACAGGATTTTGGAAATTGGTAAGCCTACTACCCTGAAGGTAATGGTATGCAATTAAACATGCAGGTATTGTTTCTTGTTCTGGAAGACCATGCTACAAATGTTCCTGTCATGTGGAGATCAATGCAAAACCAACATGATCACAGAAGACTGATTAGTAATACATGGGTGTATTTGCGTTTTGAAGCTGAATTTGCTACCTGCCTAGTACAATCACAAAATAGTACATTCCAGACTCAGAATGCTCTTTGAACACCATTCTTGTTAGGAATTCCCTGAAGATTAGTAATAATGTAATTAGTAAAAAACTAACGCATCCCCTGAAGAGTCAACCTTGATTCCTTTCTGAGAAATATATCACCAAATTTTCCATTGATGAATTATTTATGCTTCATAAGTTTGCATTTTCTTCTCCATACTAAGGACATCACATATATTTCCATTCAGTGGTAGTCTTCTGGTGTTTAAGAAGGCTTGAATGCCTGCTAATGTTCTCATGCTTATGCTACAGATGGGTTCTTCGATGTTTAGTAAGATGGGAATTCTGACTGAATTTCTTTCCACATATATAACACATAAAGGGTTTCTCTCCAGTGTGAGTTCTTTGATGTGTACGGAGATTTGAATTTTGACTGAAGCTTTTCCCACACCAGGAGCATTTATACGGTTTTATTCCTTGGTGTATTGTTACATGCTTATTAAGATCTGATTTCCCTCTAAAGCTCTTACCACAATGTTGACATTTATATGGCTTCACTTCTGTGTGAATTTTTTTGTGTTTAGTAAGATCAGAAGTCAGTCTGAAGTTTTTCCTACATTCCTGGCATGTAAAAGGCTTCTCTACTGCACGGGCTTTCTTGTGAAGATCCATAAGTCTCTGCAGCTCTTCTTCCCAAATTGAAAGTTCCTTTGTTTGATGAACTGGAAACTCTTGATGCCACTTCCCCATCCTGTGTGTATCACTATGATTTTCTTTGCCTGTTGTTTTTGGGGGAACTTTCACTCTGGTCTTTTTTGATACAAAGTCTCCTGGTGCTTGTATTTCTAAGTCAGAAAGACATATAGGCTGATGGTTTTCAGTGTCAGTTTTGAGCTTTAACCCTTTGGGAATAAAGATAACAATCAGCCAACTTAGGGAAGAGCAAAATACAGGAATGGAGAGAAAAATCCAATGATTACTGACTTACAAAATTTAGATAGGCAGAATTATACATGCCAAATCCCTGCAAAACTTGCTATCAAGGAACATTTATTTGTCCTCTTCCCAGGGTATATTTACCTGTAGGCAGCTCTCCAGGATTGTCCTTGAACTCCAAGGGCCCTTGAACCCATGGCTCTTCTCCTTGCTCTAGACAGGAGATCGCTTTAGGTTTGGGGAGCACAAATAACACTGTGAAATGGAAAAATGGAGGTGAAGGACTGGGAACTCAACAACTGTCCACCCACTCCATACTATCTCAGAAGCAGCAACGAACAGTTTACAGTGGTCAATGAGTAAGTAGATTCTCCCATCTGGTTTCGGGTTTATACTATACTGTATACACAATGGAGAGATGGAGAAATAAACCTAAGCCGGATTCATGGAGAGGATAAAGTGCATGGGAATCCATCCACAGTGCCCCTCTTCTGCAGCCAAGATTGCCCTATATTTGAACAAGATGGAACCAAATTCCAGAGTCTGCAGGGAATAAAGGTAAGTCCTACTAATTCCTTAGGATCAGCCAAGTCTAGCAGAACAAGATACAGTTCAGTGGATTGCAAGTGTATCATATGCACCAGTGATTCCCCTCATGAAAACAGTAACTTTTTACTTACCTTTTTTTTTTTAAGGACTCAATTATTTTGAGAGAGAGAGAGAGAGAGAGAGAGAACGAAAAAACACAAGCACACAAGTGTGGGGAAGGGCAAGGGAGAGAATCTTCAGACTTCCCTCAGGGCATGGAGCCTGATGCAGGGTTCAGTCTGAGCCAAGATCAGGAGTTTGAGGTTTAACCAACCGAACCACCCAGGTGCACCTACTTTTTACTTAGCTCTTAAGCGCCATGCAATGGACTAGGAAACATTCCTCCCACACCTATAGCTCACTGGTCCTTGTCCAGGTGGAAGAAACAGACCAGAATCACTTAGTGAAATTTTTCTTTTTTAATAGGTTTTATTTGACAGAGAGAGAGAAAGAGAGAGCAAGCACAAGTAGAGGGAGCAGCAGTTAGAATTAGAGGGAGAAGTAGACTCGGTGCTGAGCAGGGAGCCAGATGTGGGACTCAATCCCAGGAACACGGGATCCTGAGCAGAAGGCAGACACTTAATGGACTGAGCCACCCAGGCATCCCCTTAATGAAACTTTCCAAAATATACACTGTCAGGTTGGGGAAGTATTCATCACTCACTCAGTCAATCAATATGTAATGACTGGCTATAATATGCCAGACACTCTCTCTGGGCTAATGATATAGTGGGGATTAATCCAAGCCCACTGATCTCATGGAAGCTCACCTTCTGGTGGGAGCAGAAAACCAAACAGCAATAAACAAACAAAGCTATCAGCACGTGATGAATCTTCTGAACAAAACTAAAGCAAGATAACTCAGCATTTAAGATTTTGCCTCTTCGAAGCCATCTTAGATGAGATACTATGAAGACCTCCTTGAAAACCGATATGCAGCAGAAACGTAAAAGTGAGAGTTTTGCCATGGGCCAGAATGTGTGCCAGGCAGAGGAAAGAGGAAAGTAGAAGCAAGCATGACAAGTACAAGAAACAGAAACATCAGTGAAGCTCCGGAGGACTGAGCAAGGGCACAAATGGCAGCAGATGAGGGCAGGACAGTGAAGAGTCAGATCCTGGAGGACCTAAGGACTCCAGTAAAGTTTGAAATGGGATATGTCATGATTTCATCAGGTTTTTAAAATATTCTGGAGTATGGGAGGGCAAGAGACAGGGGCACGAGTCATAAGGTACTGAGGTCAGTCTGGTTAGACAGGCTGCTGGTTTAAGCCAGGATGCTAACAGCACAAGGGGATGAGACATGGTTGCACTCAGGCTACACTGTGGAGGTGGAGCCAAAAGGACAGGGATGCATTAAAATGGGTTATGACGGCAAGATCACAGTCAAGGATGACTGTATGTTCCTTCCTCTTAGTTACTGGATGAATGTTCTTTACTGAGAAGTGAGAGATATGAGAAGAGATTTAGGGAAGGAGAAAAAAATAAATCAAGAAATCTACATAGCATCTGGAGGTTGCACCAGCAGAAAGCTCCTCAGGTAATCTGCATACTTTTCCCCATCCACATACCATCTAGTTGAGACCAGTTACTAGAATACAGCCTCTCAAGTGAATACATTGCCAGCTAACCAAAGAACACAGCAAATTATAAAACTTCTACCCGATGGGAGAGGGAGATTCTTTACCTAGAGAGATGACAGTCTCATAGTTTTCTCGCATTACATCATTGTAGAGGGCCTTCTGAGTGGGATCCAGTAACTCCCATTCTTCCTGGGAAAAATACATGGCCACTTCTTCAAATGTCAACAAGCTCTAAAGAAGACAATGGGCTTCAGCTCAGTACTTGCCACTACAGAAGCAGCCCTACCATCTGGCCCATGGTACTCAAGGAATTAATATCATATTTTTTAAAGTGGATACTGGATACTCAAGGAATTAATATCATATTTTTTAAAGTGCAAAATTAAAGAAGCAAGAGATCATCAACAACATAGGAGTTGCCCAGTTCCCCAGGGAGAACAATGGGGTTAATATGCCCATGACCTGACAGAGTGGGTCCTGGGCAGTAGGGAAAGGCAGCCCTCAATGGCTGGACTGCACAGCTCACCTGGGACTCAGGCAAGATGAGCTCGGGTGTCACTGTCCAGTCTTTGGTGTTTGTCTTCTCAAAAAAGGCTGGGATCTGGTGAACAGGCACAACTGTGGGTAGAAAAGAACCAACAAAAATTTCTCTCACTTCTATGAACATCGTTACCTCATTTCTAAAATATAGAAGATGCTGTTTCTTTTAGTACAGTTGGGACATGTTTACAAAACTAAGTGATACCTAGTAGTGGCCTTTTCATAGTAAACCAGAATGAATCAACCATCTAGTAATGTCCAAAACCAGCTCCTTCAGTTTTCATGAAGTCAGTAAAAGAAAATCTCACTTTTTGTTACTTAAAATGTTCTGAGTTGGGCAAAAATTAGAGATGTTGAAAAAATATAGAACTCAGAGTCAATATGCCAGAAGAAGAAATGATAAGTTGAAACTGCTTGGTGAATTCAAGCAACAGCAAAATCAGTGTTGATTGAGAAGACTGTTCAAAGACACCAATGGAAGGAGACGAGGGCAAGAAGGAGACCAGCAACCTGATCTTGTAGGCTCCTGGGTACCTCAGTAAGGAATTTGGATTTGTGTGAGAAGACAACCTAAGATTTACAATATAGAAATTTCATAATTTGATAAGGAATTTAGAATCACAAAATGATGAGACATGGTTACACTTGGGCTATACTATGAAGCTGGAGCCAAAAGGATAGTTATGCAATAGTAGTGGGTCATGATGGCAAGATCACAGTAAAGGATGACTCTAATTTTCTGGAATGACGTAGTGGATAAATGATGTTATCTTATGTGGGGATGGGAAAGGTAAAAACCAGCAGACTTGGAGATGAGGAAGGGATGAAGAATTTTAGGACAAAGAATGAGCATGGGCATTGCACAAAGCTCCCTAGGTGATTTGCATACACCTTTCCCCATCCACATACCATCTAGTTGAGAACCAGTTACTAGGGAATACATTGCTAGCTAACCAAAGAACACAGCAAATTATAAAACTTCTACCCGATGGGAGAGGGAGATTCTTTACCTAGAGAGATGACAGTCTCATAGTTTTCTCGCATTACATCATTGTAGAGGGCCTTCTGAGTGGGATCCAGTAACTCCCATTCTTCCTGAGAAAAATACATGGCCACTTCTTCAAATGTCAACAAGCTCTAAAGAAGACAATAGGCTTCAGCTCAGTACTTGCCACTACAGAAGCAGCCCTACCATCCGGCCCACAGTAGACCCTGGGTACTCAAGGAATAGCACATTCTTTTTGAAGTGAAAAGTTGAACAGTATAGAAGCAAAGGATCATCAACAACCTAGGAGGTGCCCAGTTCTCCAGGGAGAATAATGGGGTTAATATACCTGCGAGCTGGGCAGAGTGGGTCCTGGGTAGCAGGGAAAGGCAGCCCCCAATGGCTGGACTGCACAGCTCACCTGGGACTCAGGCAAGATGAGCCTGGGTGCCACTGTCCAGTCTTTGGTGGTGGTTTTGTCAGAAAAGGCTAGGATCTGGTGAACAGGCATAGCTGTAGGTAGAAAAGAGCCAGAAGAATTTTCTCTTACTTCTATGAACATTCAGACCACATTTCTAAAATACAGGCAAAACCAATTCTTTTATCAGAGACAGGACACCTTTGCAAGTGTGTATGGTGTCTTAAAGTAGCATTCTCATTGCAGATAAGATCCCAATTATTAGCTGACACCTAGAAGAGGTTCTCTGATTTTCCTGAGTGACTTGATAAAAGAAAAGCCCTTTTTAATTTCCTCATGAAATAAATGGTTTCAATTAGGCCAAAATTATATATATCTAAAAACGAAGTACTTAGAAAATCCAGTGTATACTAAAAGATATAATTTTTTATCATTACTTTTTTCTGATACACAATTGTGTTCACATTCTGCCACTGATAACCCATTTCTGAGCTCAGTTCCTTCTGAATTTTATGAGTGTGAGATGGCTACTATTCTCTCCAACTTTCTAAAGAAAAGAGTTCACGATATTACTACCAGAGTTCAATGGTGTGGATATTCCTGTACCTGAGCCCAATGACCAACTTCACCCACAACTGGTCTACTCTACTGATACCTGAGAACTATTGAAATTGCCAGTGTGTTTGTTTAGATATCTACAGTGCTCAATAGCTAGAAAACACAACATTTTGATTCCAAAGTTCCTATCACAGATTCTAGGAATTAATAATTATCACGTCCTGTCTTACCTTTCTCACATATAGGCTCAGTTTCTCTATGAGAATTCCAGCTCCAGTGTTCTTGTAGCCCTGGATGTATATTCCAGAATTGATTGTGGGACATGGTCACTAGCTGTGACTCTCCTGTCTTCATCTTGAAACCTGTGACGTCAACAGTTTTTCTGAAGAGCACTGCCTCTTTTCCAAGCTCGTGGAATGCAACCTAGAAATAAATAATTTTTAGTTGTTACCAAAGAACTTACTTTTGGTTAGGGATTGGTGGTAATAGAGGAAAAACTCAGTACAACCGTAGGACGTTAATAAAAATGACAGACGAAAGGAGATATTAGACCATCAATTTTCTACAAAGTATTAACTACAAAACCTGGGGAAATTACCATAACAAAAAAAGTCGGAGAAAATGCTGGCTCTAAATGCAATTACTCCCATACATCTGTATGCAGTACAGAACAGACTACCAGGGTTGCACACACTACATGTACTCCTGCATACTTGACAGGCTTTCTTCTTGACCGGAACCCTCAATGGTTTCCTGTCTTCTACTTTTCACTCATTACAACCATTCTTGGCAACTCAAACTATGGATGAGCTGGACTAAAATCAGTAAAAGGATCTTCTTCCTAAAACACTAAGAGCAGAAAAAAAGTGCACATCAGTAAAAGAAAGTGACATTAGCTTGGATACCCACTAGTCACAATGGGAGAAAAATGAAGAGAAAAATCCTGCCTTGCTTTCCTTTTAAAGAATCTGGGATCCCTGGGTGGCGCAGCGGTTTGGCGCCTGCCTTTGGCCCAGGGCGTGATCCTGGAGACCCGGGATCGAATACCACGTCGGGCTCCCGGTGCATGGAGCCTGCTTCTCCCTCTGCCTGTGTCTCTGCCTCTCTCTCTCTCTGTGTGTGACTATCATAAATAAATAAAAATAAAAAAATAAAAAAAATAAAGAATCCACCGCCAGCCCCTTTCTCTCTGCTATTCGCCACTTGAAATAAGGCACAGTTCACTATAGAGAAACGCCCACTGAAGAGTTGGCCTTGGTAAAAATGGTAACGATTCAGGAAAGGTTAGACAGTGAGAACATTGACCCCTCCGGCTGCACCGAGCTTCGGGGTTATGCAAACACCTCCTCGTCGGGCGTCCTATCCCAGCTCCCCCAAGCCCAGGGAGGATCAGGGGAACATTCTGAGTTCCTCTTAAATTTTAACCTGTCAGCCCAGTCTTCTGTCTCTAGCAAGGGAGTCCAACTTCTCGGACCCTTCATCCTCTTGTGAAGACGGAAGCCCTCGGTGCGGGAACGTTCCAGATTCTCCTTCCCACTGACCGATACGGGCAGGAGAGCTGGGACCCAAAAGTGAGAGCAGAGAAGGAAAGCAATCAGGGAAAAGCAGTCCTATCTCAGCGCGCAGCCAGGGGCCACGGAGCTAGACGCTCAACACTCCTGGGGGACGCTTCCCTGCGAGCAGCACAGAGGGCGCCGGGCACGGATCGGTTCCTGCGTTCAAAGCTCTCTTGACTTGAACCAGAAAAACCACCGCTGACCTTTCCTTTGCTTACAAAACGTTTCTCCAAAGGCCAAGTCGCAAGGGAGGAGAGGAGAGTCGCTGGCGTGGGGCGCCGTCCGCCCACCTTCCCTTTCCTCCACGGTCACTTGGACCTCCAGGCAAGGCTGAGCAAAGTCCCGGCACCCCGCTTCCCACGGGGCTCCCACGCGGCCGGCCCGGCTGCCCGGCGGCTCAGCGGGCCCCAGCACAGGCCCGGGCCGGCCACGGCGGCCAGCGAGGCGGGACGGCGGCGCGGCCTCGGAGCCTGACGGCGGGGCTCCCGGGCCCGTCCCGCCACCAGGCTGCGCCCGCCCGGCCCAGCGGCGCCACCGCCCACGGACAATGGCGGCGGCCGGGGCCCCTCGGCAGCTCCGGGCGCCGCCGCTCCCCCTGCCGCAGGCTCACCTGCAGGCCGCCGCCTCCGCCCCGCGCGCTCCGAGCCCGGCCTCAGCACCCGCCCCCAGGCCCGCGGCGCCCCGGGGCCCTTCCGACGCGGCGCTCGGGCCGGAAGCGCCCTGACGCCCTTCCGGGGAGGGGCTCCGAGCAGCCGCGCCGCGGGCCACCACCTCGCCCCGGGGAGCGGCCTTCCGCCCGGTGCCGCCCTGGCGGCCGGAAGAGCTAGTGCCCCCGAGCGCCCGGCCCGCCGCGGCCTGGGGGCAGGGGGCGGCGCGGCCGGCTGGTGCCTGCGTGGCCCTCGGGCGGCCGGCGGCGCCTGGTGCCCCGACCCCCGCCGGGAGCGTGGCCGCCGCCGCGCTCGGGGCCCTGGGCCTTGCCCGAGCTCTCGTCGCGGTCAGGCGGCCCCGAGGCCTTGCTTGGCCCTCCTCAGGGCCGCGCGCCCCTCGCAGCCATCCCGGGGGCCCGGTGAGGTAGGTTCCGGCCGTGAGGCGGGCCCGCAGGCTGGGATCGGGGCTCCTGCGGCCGCCGCCGCGGCATGCTCCCGGAGCCGGGCACCCCGCCCGTGGGCGTCCCCGCGGTCTCTGCCCGAGCTCGTGCGCCCCGCTTCTCGGGCTCCGGGCATCTCGGGTGCCCAGGCCTCCCAGGGTCAGCCTTCGCCACGCGGCGGGCTGCTTGTCGGGTGGCCCGCGGGCGGCCAGGGCTAGAGCGCTCGGGCAGTGCCTTCGCTGCAGGGGCTCCGGCGGGAGGGCGCGGCGTTTCGGCGACCCTCCGTGGTCACACGGGCCAGGAGGACGCGAGCCCGAAGCCGAGCGCCGCGCGAGCCGAAGGAAGGGAAAGGGGACTTTTCCTTGGGAAATGACAAAGGTGCCCCCAGGGAGTGGGGCCCCGCGCACGCGGACGGAGAGCTGGAGAAGACTGGGGTGTGAGCACACCCGCCATACGTTCTCACTAAGTGCGATCCCGCTAGTGTTGGGGGGAAGGCCTCACGTTAGAAAAGAAGTTCTTGACCTCTCACGGGGGCGCCGCGGGGCAGCGAAGAGACTGCATTTCCTAGACTAAACCCTGGAGCATCACTGGAGGCTGTTTGAGGGACCATCTTTCCGGGGCAGTTCATCCGGAAGGAAGGTAAAGGTGGGAATGAAAATGGGAGGCCAGTACCCGGCCGCATATTACTTTTTTTTTTTTTTTAAGATTTATTTATTTATTCATGGTAGACATAGCGAGAGGGAGAGAGGCAGAGACACAGGCCGAGGGAGAAGCAGGCCCCATGCCAGGAGCCTGATCCTGGGACTCCAGGATCGCACACTGGGCCAAAGGCTGGTGCTAAACCGCTGAGCCACCCAGGGATCCCCTTACTTTGCTTTTTAAGGTGGAACCTTTTGTGCTTCTCTGATCCTTTCGGAGTGAGAGCAAAGGATTAAACACAGGAGGTAAGAATAGGCATCTGCCTAGGTCACTGGAGTAGGTTTCAGAGCAGGTTCATTTCCTGGGAATCTGAGTCAGGTTGAGAGTTAGTTTGTTCAAAGGCAACGCTTCTTTCCAGGCTTCGAGAACCAGTGGACAGTAGTGCTCGTAGCATGGAGATCCTCACCATCAGACCCAAGGCTGAGCATGTAATTGGAACTTCCTAAAGTGAATAAATGAATTCTGCAGCCGGGGCCTTGCATGCCACTGGTGGGCCTGATTCATAACATGGGGGTGGAGGATGTTGGGGGAGAAAAACTAAGAGACCCTGAGAAAGCAAGAAGAAATAAGGTATAAACTGGGGGATAGTGAATGAGGGTCGGTAATGATTTTCGTAGTTTGAAGTCTGTGCCAGAGTTGCTTCCCCTTGCTGTGGAGCCCACCAACGTGGCCCCAGCCTTTCCTTTTGAAATCCTCTTCCCTGCCCGGGCACTGCTTGAAAAATGCTCAGTGTACAGCTGGGAAGCGGTGAGAGGAAAGATTTGCACTTGATTCCGAGACACCATGCAGCTGCCATAGCGGGCCGAATGGTTTTGCTGTGTGGCAGGCTGGAGTTAGTAATGCTGCTGTTACAGATAACCAATTCTCTCTTTTTGCTTTTTCCATTTATATAGTCATCAGTGACTAATTCCCTCAGTGATGGCTGCCTTTCAGAAGGTTGCTAGATCTTAGTCTGCATTTGCTTCACAGTCTACTCAGGATCATTGTCTTTCCTGAACCTCTTAGTGCCTCATAATTACTTGTGATCCAGACGTGCATAAGTGAGCAGTGTCTAGAAGCGGCAAGGAAGCTGTGGCTCTGGTTGAAGATATATAGACTGGATCTGGGCAATAGGTGAGAAAAGGCATTCAGAACCTGGTGGAGTTCAGTTATGAAAAGCTGAGGAACACAGGAATCTGGATAGTGCAGAGGAGCCAACTAGAGAAATGCACAGTACCCCTCCACCGACCACCAGAAACTATGCGCTACCTAGGAAGGTCCTGTGTTCTCTATCTATAGGGAGAATTTCTCATTTGCCACTCCTGGGGTGGGGGTTGTGGGGGGAGGGGGGTCTTGTAATGAATAGCTGCACCCGAGCCAGAGGAGTTTAGAGGGGCTAGATCACAAAGGAAGAAGATGCATTCAGAAGAAATACTGGAAACTAAAAGCATACATCAAGCCAGTCAATTCTCCACACTGTGTATCCTGGTGGTGGTAGGGAGGAGGGTGTAAATGATGAAGGGGTTAATCCAGAGGTACCTACCGGGAAGGTGGCTCTGATTCTTGAGGGGAGGGAGGGTGAGGAATAAGACCCTGGCATATGGTGAACACGAGAAAGAACAGCTGGACTACACTGTGAAAGTAGTTTGGGAAATTCATGAGCACACACCAGTCTGGCTATAGAGAAAGCTGTTTGGGTATTTCCAGTGCTTTAGATCCTCAGATTGTAGAGGGAGCAAAGGAAGAGGACAGAAGGTACATCATGAGAAGCAGAGGGAAGGAATGGGAGATAACTTTATGCTTTTTCCATTTCCTGCAGCCTCCCTTCCAAGTCGAGTCTTTTCCAACTGTGATTGTACACCACTAAGCTATTCTTATGTCTTTCTGATTCTAGAAAGACTTTCACCGGTGTCCAGGAGACTGGCTTCCCCATGATGTGAGAAGAAATGGAATCTGATCTCCAGGGTAGAAGTGGCTACCAGTCAGCCAGTTTGCTGAAGCAAATCATGGCTGCACCAAGGAGTCCCCAGGCATACCCATTCCCATGCAAGAACTGCTCACAGGGACAGAAATCAACCTTTCACAGCAACAACCCCAACCCCGAAGCTTCCCGCCAGCACTTCAGGCAGTTCTGCTGCCAGGAGGTAGCTGGCCCCCATGAAGCTTTCAGCAAGCTCTGGGAACTCTGTTGTCAGTGGCTAAGGCCTAAGATACATTCAAAAGAGCAAATGCTGGAGCTGCTGGTTTTGGAGCAGTTTCTGACCATCTTGCCGGAGGAGATCCAGACCCGGGTGAAGGAGCAACATCTAGAAAATGGTGAATAAGCTGTGGCTCTGGTTGAGGATATACAGACTGGGTCTGGACAACAAGTGAAAAGAGACATTCAGAACCTGGTGAGTTCAGTAATGAAGAACTGAATGAGAAACACAGGAATCTGGTTAGTGCAGAGAGCCCAGTGGAGAAATGCACAGTAGCCCTCCACCACCCACCAGAAACTATGCGTTACCTAGGGTGGTCCTGTGTTCTGTATCTATAGGGAGAATTTCTCATTTGCTGCAATAATGTAGACACTGATAAATTCAGTGAATGTTTAGGGTCCCTAATACAGATGTAAAAGCTCAGATAGCTCCAACAGAAGGCCAGGGAATGGCCAACTATCCCTCACTCAGGAGTAGGGGAATGAGTCGGTGAATTAAAACCCAGAGTCTCCTGCTGAGAGGTTCCCTGAGTGCAGATGCCATGTGTTCAACAGTTAAGTTGTATCAGAGCTGCTCCTGCTGCCGGGTTTCAGGGGTCAGTATGGGGCAGGTGATGCTTTCACAAAGTATGCACTTGTCAAAGAGAGACTAGGTCTGACATCCAGTCAGCGTAACCATATTGTCCTTTTAGGAGAAGGGAGGTGAGAAAGGCACAGAAGGACAAAAGGAACATGGCTTTGGTTGTGGGATTTGTGGGCAGAAGACAAGTGAGATCCCAGAGTCTGAGAGAGGCACATAGTAATGAGGAGTGTGGGTCAGAGGGACGCTGTAGCCTGAGAGCCTCTGGTCACCAGGAAGCAGCTCGCTGGGTGCAGAGACTGCATGGCTGCAATGGGAGATGCTGGCTTCCATCCTCAGGGACGAGGGAGACCTGTCCTTGGGCTGTGGGAGGAAGAGTGGTGCTGACATAATGTGGAGAAGGCAGAGCCGTGTGGTGGGGACACATTAGGGTCCGAACTGAGGAAGTTCATGAAGGATCCATGGGATTGGGATAGTTAACAACTGGGAGGGAGGGGAGCCGGGCAAGCAGTAGCACATGCGTGGAGGCAGAGTTGTTTGGAGAGGAGCGGGAGCCCCTGCATGCTGATAGTCATCCTGCTCCAGATCCCCTCGCCCTCTCTCTGTGGTGACGGTCTCTCCTGTGACACCCACATTTCACAGCCAAGCTGTTCATAGGAGCAAACGGTATAGGATTGTAAGGGTTAAAGAGTGACCTAAAATCTCTCTGGAATGTGAAAGGCAGAGCATGAAACAGGTGAGCAAGAAGTGGAGGTGAGAGGGAGCAGGGGAGGTTGGCAGCACTTGCCAGGACGCCAGCTGCCGCTGTGTACCACCCCTCAGTCACTTGAAGAACAGTTGTAAGCTTGGGACGTAAGGGATGCAGGTGGCTCTGAGGGACCCAGGGAGCATTGAGGTACCTGCAGTGTGTCACGTATTGGGGATTTCCCAGTGAACAGGGCAGGCGTGGTCCCTGGCCCGCAGGAGCCCACACTCCATGGGGGAAAGGGACAACAAGCAAAGGAAAGCAGACACTTTCAGAGAAGTGCTCTATGGGACCGAGCCAGCTGCTGTGCTGGAGAATGACTGGGGGGGGGGGGGGGGCACGGCAGACAGGAGTGGGCGTGGCATCTCCGAGGGAACACTGGAGCTGAGCTGAGGGAAGGAGCAGCTGTCTCAGGAGCCTCAGGGGGCAGAGCATTTGGCACGCTTGGCAGGGAAGTGAGGGTTGGCTTTAGGATCCAGGAGAAGAGGTGTAGGGCAGAAGGCAATGTCAACAGGGACAGTATGAGCTGAGCTTTAACAAGACCTATTAGGTTCTGTGTAGGCAGAGGGTGGATGACAGTCTAGCAGCAGAGTCCTGGAGCAGGCTGTGGGGTTCAGACAGGGCCCAGGGGAGGGCTTTCTCTTCTGCTGAGCCAACTGAGCAGATGTAGTGAGGCCCCGCACGTCGGGGGAGAGGCCCCACACGCAGTGGTGGCAGCAGTGTGCCGTACAGGAGGCTGACGTGCTCTCCTGCAGCAGATGTGCTCCCTGGTCAGCTTTGGCCACGCCACTACTCTGCTCGGTGCTTTCAGGTAATGGTCTTAGTCACTAGAGACCAGGTGAATGAGACCAAATTCTATTCTTTATTATTATTCTTTTTTAAGTTACAAGGGCCCTGAGAGTATTTCTCTTCTGCTTCCTTATGTCCCATGTCGTTTCCTAATGCCACTCATAGGGCTTTACAGTCCATGAGGCAGGGATTTATAGTGACAGGTGATGGGTTCTGTTCTCAGGTCTTAGATTCTGAGGACTGGAAAGTGCTGAACGAAGAGACAACCCTGTTGGGAGCAGCTAGAGAGTCCCCGAGATCCCACCTGAAACAGGTTCATCCAGAGGAAAGCACCTTGGAAGGGTTATGGAGCTCACAACAAAGAGCAGGGGAACAGTCAGAAGGTAAGCAGAAGTCTCTGCCCTCATTGGGGGCTAGGGAGGAATGCAGGTCTAAGCTTGAGTAAGGTGCGGGGTTCTAGATTCAATGCTTTTAAAATAGTCACAAAACAAAATTTGAAATGCTACCTGAGGGTAATAGCACTTAGGGTGATTTCTTATGTGTCACCCTAATTCTCCTTTGCTACAATTTAATTCTATTACTTCTAAACCAGGTATATTCACTTCTGTACAATTACCCTCACACACACACCAGCTTTTCATGTACTTGAGACAAAACCCCTTTCTCATCCAGCTTAATTTTTGGTGAGTCAGTAAGAGGGAGAAAGAGAATCGCAAGCGGTTTCCCAGCTGAGTGCAAACACGGATGTGGGGCTTGATCCCAGGACCTTCAGATCATGACCAGAGCCAAAGACAGATACTTAACGGACGAAGCTACCCAGGCTCCTAGAAAAAATTTCAAAACATTTTTTAACTGGAGTGAAATTCATGTAACAAAAATAACCATTTTCAAGTGAACAGTCCAGGAGCATTCAGCACACACGTTCACAAGGTGATACAATCACCACCTCTATCCAGTTCCAAAACATTTTCAGCCCCCCAAAAGGAAACCCTGGACCCATTGCAGAAGTTATTCTTTATTCTGTGGATTTGCTCGTTCTGAGATTTCTAAAAAGAGTATCCTACAACAAGTGACCTTCCCTGCCTGCTCTCCCTCACTGAGCAGATGTCAAGCCTGCATCACTACTTTGCTCATTTCAAGGCTGAATAATACTCCATTAGGGGGTCAGACCAAGGTTCTGTCTTTCTACATCTCTTCCAGTGAAGCACTGTGGTTGTACACGTTTCAAGACCACCCACAACCACTGCTGCCTTGTAAGCTTCCATTATAGGGTGATCAGTAACTTATTTTTAAAATTTTACTTATCTAAGTAATCTCTACACCCAACCTGGGGCTCAAACTCCAACTTCAAGATAGTCACATGCTCTTCTGACTGAGTCAGTCAAGCGGTACGCCTATTCAGTAAGTTTTCTTTACTTAATCCAAATCCTAGAGGAAAACATTACATATTCACACTGTTTGTGTTGTCTACCTTCCGTTTGTGGATTGTCTACCTTCCGTTTATGAAATGGAAAAGTGTCTAACAGGTCTATTTGTTATAGTGTTTTCTAAGCAGATGAAACAATGAGTATCAGTATAAATCCTAGCATTTTTTTTTTTAAATTCTTGGAAACATTGCCACCCTCTGGCGTGTGGCTTCTGAGACTTTGGGGTTGAGTGTGAAGGGGGGCAGGACTAACCATGTGCCTGATTTCCATTTCTGCTGCTCATCCTGCCTTCAGGCTGCTCAGATCCCAAGTACTGTAACCTCCTCAGGATCACATCTTGTGGTGTCCTCTGAGGCTCCATTAATAAGTCAACAAAACAACCATTTCCTTACTAGATTCTTAAAGAGGGATTTCAAGAACAGAATATATATGCTAGTGTGAAAAAAAATAAAAGGTTGAGTTACTGTGCTATTTTGAGTACTAGGGTCATCTCTGGGTGGTGGGGCTCAGAGCTCAAGCCCTTCATTTATTTATTTTTTTTCCTATAACCTGTATACACTGCTTTATTTTTTTAAAGATTTTATTTATTTATGAGAGACACCGACAGAGAGAGACAAAGACTTAAGCAGAGGAAGAGGCAGGCTCTATGCAGGAAGCCCAAGGTGGGACTCTAATCCCCGAACTCCAGGGTGATGCCTTGAGCCAAGGCAAATTCTCAACCACTGAGCCACCCAGGCATCCCATATACTGCTTTAGAATGAAACAAAAAATCTTTTTAAATAAACAGCTATTATACCAATGATCTGTTGAAAGGAGCCTTTCAACAGAGGGCACTGGCACTGGCAGTGGTCCTCAGACTTCATTATACTCGTACTCACTTGGGGGGCATGCCTCCCGCCCCCTTGCCCAGAGCTTCAGATTCAGTGGGGGGAGGTGGAGCCAAGGAAGATGCCTTGTGACGGGTTCCCAGTGCTGCTGGACTGTGACCGCACTCAGAGCCCCTGCTCGTGGCAGCTGCCTTCCACCAGAGACTGTTTTCTCCCCAGCCTGGCTATTGGCACAGGCTCCCAGGAACCTGGCCCAGAAGAAGGGTTTTGAGACCAGGAGACAGGCACTGGCTTTGGGCAGCTGGGGCCCAGGTGAGGTGTGCTTGATGCATGTTGTCTCCTGAGGTTCCCATTTCACTCTTAAGCCCAAGCCCCTTCCTCCCCAAGATGTTAGAAAGATCATGAGGTCCACACACTGGCACACCTTTGCTTGCTGTCTATCCATCTGATGTCTCCACGTGGCCCTTTGCTCCCCCTGGTGCTTCCCAGGGAGGAAGCCTGTGGTCCCATCTCTGCCCCATGCCAGGCAACAGCAGTGCTGTTTTATGGGTAGCAGCGGCCCCCCATGTTGTTACAGGGACCGGTCCCATGTGAGGACAGAGCCGGATCCCTCTGTCAGGAAGGACAGACGCACGTGGGCTTTGCACAGAGGGCCATCTACAAGGGGGTGACATGGAAGAAGGACAGAAAGAACTCTCTGGGTAAGGAGGTCCCGTCCCACAGGTCCAGGCTGGCTGTGTTCATTTGCTAAGAGAGAGACATAGACCAGAAGATGCAAGAGTGAAGGCCACAGACAGGAGTGTGGAGACTGTTGGGGCGAGGGAAGCAGGAGACAAACAGGGAGAGTCTGAGCGTAGGAAGGACACGCAGACTGTAGGAAAGGTAAAGCTAGGCGCCAGAGGGGTGAGGACAGGGCGGACAACACCTGTGACAGGGAGCGGGAACAAGGCGGGGGCAGGACGCAGGAAGCAATGGGGACTGAGTGCGGAGGTAAAGCCTGCGGCCGCGTGTAGCTTAAAAGAACGCTGAAAAGAACGAGGCACCATCCGAGGGACACCACAGCGACGCGAGTGAACGTGCGCTCACACACCTTGGAGAGCATTCCCGATGGGCAGGGGTGAGCCTGGCATGCACCTGAGCTGTGCTGCTGTGCTACTAGGCCCAGACCTTCAGGAGGCAGCCAGCCCTTGCAGGGTGTCACACCAGGAGAGCCACACGCCCTCAGGAATTACCCCAACTGTGGACATGGGCGAGCATCACAGGTCACACAGGTCACCTCACGAGAAATGGGGGGGAGGGGATTCAGGAGAAAGAGAAACAAAAGGGCGGCTCTGGTAAATACTCCACAACCCCTTATCATCAGAGGATGGCCTTTCCATTCTGCTGAACGTCTGTGTTTCAGGAGAGGAGCCCACTGTGGTGGCTTCCCAGGGATGGCAGCGCACAGTCGTGGCAGAGCTGCACAAACCACGTGTCACCTCCTGGGCTGCTAACCTTACTTACCGTGTGGGATGCAGGCCCCTGTATGTCATCGTGTCCCCTGTCCTTGTACAGCAGGCGGGCCCTGCGGCGATGCACCCAAGCCAGTCTTGGCCATCGTCTGGAATGCTCAACATCATGAGGAACTCCAGACTCCTCAGCACAGCCAGCCCGACAGGGTGGTGGCAGAACGACTCGGGGAGCAGGGCCTTCTGCGGGCCCCAGGGCAGTCTCACACCAAGTTCAATGGCCTGGGGTCGAGGTACCACAAGGGGAGGGGAGGCCGTGTGCCCGAGCCCTGTGTCCTTTCTGAGAAGTGCATGCCCTCTCAAGCTCCTGGGCCTCTGCACCCAAGGAGGCAAGCTGTGATATTCCTGGCCGGGAGGGAAGGGCAACGGAGGCTGGAGAGCTGAGCCAGCAGGAGGGCGAGCCCATGGAGGCTGGAGAAGGGGCCTGGACAGATGGTCCAGGGATGGAAAGACTTCCAGGATCCTGACCGGGAAGGAGGCCTCACCTGCCAGTCCTGTTCCCATACACATGGGTAGCACTGCTGGCTCTGACCGCCAAGGTACAGCTGGGAAGTCCACCCAGAGTCCCTCAGGCCAGCACTTGAGAGGGAGCTGCCTCTGCTGCTGCCATGCTCAGTGCCCTGCGGGCCGACCCTTGTTTCCTTGCCCTCCAGTGACAGTCCGCCTCCACCACATCTTCCACGGAGTACGTGGTGTTTTTCCTGTGCAGCTCCTTTCCTTGGTTTTCTCAGACTGCCACAGGCCTCCAGCCTGGACTCTGTCCCCTTCTCCTCCAGCATCACCCTCCTTTCTTTTTTTTTTTTTTTTTTTAATTTTTATTTTATTTATGATAGTCACACAGAGAGAAAGAGAGAGGCAGAGACACAGGCAGAGGGAGAAGCAGGCTCCATGCACCGGGAGCCCGATGTGGGATTCGATCCTGGGTCTCCAGGATTGTGCCCCGGGCCAAAGGCAGGCGCCAAACCGCTGCGCCACCCAGGGATTCCTGCCTCTCTCTCTCTCGAATGAATGAATGAATGAATAAATAAATAAAATCTTCAAAAAAAGACTCCTTTTAGGTATTTCCTTTATGCTGCTTTAACTCTAACTTTCCTCAATGCTCTGTTCCTTCTCCACAGTCCAGTGTCTTTGTTCCCTCAGGTCTTGAGATCAAGAACAAAACTAAAAAGGAGAATCGGAAATGGGATGGTTTGGGGCAAGCAGAAGCGAAGAAGACCCTATGGAGAAAGTCTAGTGAGACGTTTTGGCGCCCTGAGCCCAAGAGAGGCCAGAAAGGCGAGCCTCTGCTAAGAGGGCAGTGGAGACACCCTGCGAGGGAGCAAGAGGGGAGACCCCCATCCCAGGAGAGGTGGAGTCAGCAGATACTCCGTGCTGGGGACAAGGCCTGTGCCCATGTCCTAAGCCTGGGAGATGGCTCTCGGGGCTCTCCCTGTCTCCACCAGCCAGTCGCCCAAGTGGAGAAATCATCGAAGTGCCAGCAGTGTGGGAAAAGCTTTAGTCGAGGTTCTTACCTCGTTCGGCACCAGAGAATCCACACAGGAGAGAAGCCTCACATGTGCAGGGAATGTGGGAAAGGCTTCAGCGAGCGCTCCAACCTCACTGCCCACCTAAGGACACACACGGGGGAGCGACCCTACCACTGTGGGGAGTGTGGGAAAAGCTTCAACCAGAGCTCCAGTCTCATCGTACACCAGAGGACCCACACTGGGGAGAAGCCTTACCAGTGCACCACCTGTGGGAAGAGATTCAACAACAGCTCCCAGTTCAGTGCTCACCAGCGAGGCCACACAGGGCAGGGCCCCCACCCGTGTGCACAGTGTGGGAAAAGCTTCAAGAGCAGCTCCCGTGCCAGTGCCCAGCAGAAGACACACGCGGGGGGGGGGGGGGAGCCCTCCACGTGCTCTGGGTGTGAGAAAAGCTTCCCCAAGAACCCTGTCCTCACCCGCCAGCAGGGGGCACACTGAGAAGACACACTCACACCCCAAGGAGGGACACGGGCTACCAGGGTGTAGGAAAGCCAACATATCAGTTCTGTAGTTTGAGTCTCTCCTGGAACTTCCATTGGTTTCTGGATGGGGCCTACAAGTATCCTAAACCAATACAGACAACTAGCAGCTGCCCTAGGTCCTTCTACCTCAGAAGAGGTCCTGCTTTGTATCCCAGCCACTCACAGAAGAGGAAAGCAGGAAGGATGGATTAAGCCACAGGGGACAGCTGCTCTAAGTGACTTACTCTCAGAGCAAGCATGGTATCTGGGTTCCTCTTTCTAAGATTTCTCATCTACATCACCCCCATCCAGGTTCCTGCTTCCTTGTCAGTTATATTTAACGGTTTCTACAGGTTTATATGCATTACTATTTCTAATGAAAATAAAGGTGTTCCCCCTTCCACTCTCTTAACCTTTGGTGCTAATTTTCTGTGTTAGAAACTTCATCTTCGGGGATCCCTGGGTGTCTCAGTGGTTTAGCGCCGGCCTTTGGCCCAGGGTGCGATCCTGGAGTTCAGGGGTCGAGTCCTGTGTCGGGCTCCCAGCATGGAGCCTGCTTCTCCCTCTGCCTGTGTCTCCCTCCCTCTCTCTCTGTCTCTGCCTATCATAAATAAATACATAAATACATAAATAAATACATAAATAAATCTTAAAAAAAAAAGAAACTTTATCTTCAGGGTGCATAGGTAGCTCAGTCAGTTGACTCTGACTTCAACTCAGCTTATCACCCCGGGGTCCTGGGATCGAACCCTGCAACGGGCTTCCTGCTCAGCCATGAGTCTGCTTCTCCCTTTGACTCTGCCTCTCCCACCACTTGTTCCCTTGAGCTCACTCTGAAATGAATAAAATCTTAAAAAAAAAAAAAAAAGGAAATCCTCACATAGAGGCACAGAGGTCTTGAAGGATCCAAGGGTAGACCCTTCCTCAGCTCAGTATGATATGCAGAGAAGCAGCAGCTTTTTGGGGGCCACCGACCCCCAATGGCTCCCATGCTGAGAGGGGACACCACAAGTGTAAGAAGACCCAAGAAGAAGGAAGGGGGTTGATGAGTACTAAGAAACAATCTATAACTCACTGATTCTGAAGAGACTTAGATATTTCCTTCTCTGAAATTCAATGCATAAAACCTGGTAAAAGGTGAGCATGTTGTCTCAGCTCCTGGCCTGTGCAACCCAGATGTTAGTACCTTGTCCAGGTATGGTGAGAGCGAGTGTCATGGTTTCTGCCGCAGTCTTTTTGAGGATTTAATAAGAGCAAAGAACAATATTCTACCTCCAAACCCCCCTCCCTTCAAAAAATTTAATTTGGGGAAGCAAAGAGAAGTAAGGTAAATCCTAGGAATGCATGTCAGTGTTTCCTACAGTAGAACCTTGCCTGGGCCCCCCACATTTCCCTGCACACACTGTCCCCAGCACGGCCCTCACGACAGCCTGTTCAGCGCAGTTCCCAGAGTCCCAGACTTCATTCTGCTCTACACAGACTGGTAAAAAGAATACTTTTCCAGAGCCTAGGGGAAGGCAAACAGATGGGCTTCACTGAACATCATGGCGGGGAACAGAGGGACAGCCCAGAATGGATCAATTAGGGAAGGCTTTGGAGGCCTCCTCCAAGAGCTAGTTTTTCTGAATGAGGAAATGGAGGTCAATAGAAAGAATAAGGAATGCAGATGCCAATGAGGCTTCTCTAGAAGGCTCCTCCCACTCCCAGGGTATTGTGGGCAGGGAGTTGGGGGCAACTGCTGCCTGCCACCCTGTGGAAGGAGGGGGCTGCCCCCTCCACTCATTTCATGCTCCAGTCAGCTGTGCAGACAAGAGAAGTCAGTAGCAGAGCTCCTAACTCCTGCCTGTCAACTGCCCCAAATAGTCTAGAGGAGACAGGTAGGAGCTGGAGAACACATTCCTTTACTCCCTCCTTCAAGAGATACTTGATTACATGGAAGGGCTGAAAAAAAAATCTTCCAGGAAATGCTGGACCGGTGCCCCGAGGGGAGACGGGGTGGCGCACCGGCCACCTACTCCCTATGGCTCCCCAGAGGGGCGAGGCCCGGCTTGCGGCCACTCGTGGTCTTCGAGGCCACAGCTGCAGGGGAGAAGGAGGAGCCGCAGCGCTCGGGGCCTTCCCAACAGAAGTCAGCTTCACACAGTCCATTCACCAGCCGCGCCATCTTAGCCAGCGCGCTGCACCGGAAGCGGCCGTGCGGCATGCCGGAAAGCTTGGAAAGCCCGCCGCATGCGCACCAGAAAGGCCTCAAGGAGCGGAGCGGAGGACGCAGGCGCGAGCTAAGGAGCGTCAAAGTCGTCTGGTTCCCGCCCTTCCACTAACCAACCGCCATTCTTCCCGAGGAATCGGCGCGTGGTAGCCGCTGGCGTCCTGTCCTCAGCCAGTCAGACTGCGGGGGAACTCGGGCGGAGCCCTTGGCGTTTGTCCGCTCCCTGTTGCTCACTGCTCTTCTGTTGGCCGGCGCTTCCGCTGCTTGGCTTCGGCGGGTTTTCCTTCGCCTCAGGTACAGGCGTTGCAGCGGACATTGTCCAAGGCCGTCAACGTGCTGTTGGTGTGCTGGGCGCAGTGCTAGCACAGTGGGGGCGCGTTCACTCTACGTAATCCTCACCACGGTCCTGTGAAGTCAGTAGTATTGCCGTTTTCATCCTCCAGAAGAGGAAACGAAGACTTTCTCCGTGACTACCGTGACGAAAGTAAGCTTTCCAACCCGGCGTTTTCTTCCTCGTGTCGTTCTTAATACTCGTGAGTACCACAAGTCCTTCTTAGGTGAAAAAGTCTCCCCGTTCCTTATTTCCGAACCACAGTCTCCCGCCAGAGGAAATAACTGTTACTTGTCTGTATATCTTTCTGTACCTTCCTGTGCAGTTTTGCCAAATCCTGAAGGTTTTCTTTCTTTCTTTTTTTTTTAAGATTTTATTTATTTATTCCTGAGAGAGAGGGAGACAGAGAGACAGAGACACAGGCAGAGGGAGAAGCAGGCCCCACGCAGGGAGCCCAACGTCGGACTCTCTCGGGGGTCTCCAGGACCACGCTCTGGGCTGAAGGCAGCGCTAAACCACTGAGCCACCCGGGCTGCCCTCTTGAAGGTTTTCTATTTCAATATTAACGACCACACCTTTTAACCTGAGGTTGTTTCATGTAGTCATGTACCACAATATATCCAATCAATCATTTCCATTTTGGTGGACTTTGAAATACTTTTCTAATTTTATGTGTCTGTCCCATCCTTGATTTGGGATATTCTGAATATATTTTGAAGAGGAAGCTGATAGATTGGGATGTGGAATTTGAGGGGCGTAACAGTGGAGACTTCTCCGTGGTCTCTCTGCCCTTATCCTGGATTGTTCATTCATCCATCATTTATGAAGACACTGGTAGCCCAGTGAAGGAGTATACTGGATCAGGGTATAAATAGAGGGAGGTGGGAAGTGAAATAGACTGATTAACCTCCCTCCAAAAGCCTCCACTTTGATTATTATTATTTTTTAAAATTTTTAGTTATTTATTCATGAGAGACACAGAAAGAGAGAGAGGCAGAGACACAGTCAGATGGAGAAGCCGACTCCATGCAGGGAGCTCTATGGGGGACTTGATCTGGGAACTGGATCCCAGGACTCCAGGATCATGCCCTTGGCGGAAGGCAGGCGCTAAACCTTGGAGCCACCCAGAGATCCCTTTCATCTTGTTTATATATAACACGGGAACAGTTTCCACAAAGCACTCCCCCACACATAACCTATATGATTTTTACAGTGTTCCTGCCTGGTATTCTATTCACTTTACAGGTAATGAAAAGGAGGGCTGAAGAGCTCAGATCCACCAGTTACCATATCCCATTTTCTTCCAGAGTACTCAGAATGCCTCTTAGCTCCTCATGCCATAAATTGTCTAAGTTCTCTGCTGTCTCCCTAGTCAGAGACCAATGTAACCAGACAGCTACATGGACAGCTACATGGTTAGGAAAGAGAGAGAGGGTGTACGGGAGTGAGCGGAGAGTGATTGTAGAAGAAGCCCAGTATGTTTTACTGTGCCCCTAATGCCAAGTTAGATTTAAAGTATTCTGTGTTTCAATAGGGAGATCTTCATTACTGCAAAGTGTTTAAAGATTGCCTATTTTCCTCTTATTTCCTCCCAAGTTATTTATTAATGTAACTGGTTTGGCGAGATGATATGATTCCTCAGTCTCCTTGGTAGTTATATTTCTCATCAATGAATCCAGTGTCGTTCTCGTTTTATTTATTTGTATATTTTTTAAAAAGTTTTTATTAATTTATTCATGAGAGACAGACAGGCAGAGACACAGGCAGAGGGAGAAGCAGGCTCCATGCAGGGAGCCTGATGTGGGACTCCACCCAGGTCTCCAGGACCACGCCCTGGAATGAAGGCAAAGCTAAACCGCTGAGCCACCGGGGCTGCCCTCGTTCTGGTTTCATATATTAACTTAGGAGCTTATTAGTCTTTGCAATCCTGCTGTCTGAGAACTTCATCTACTCTAAGTGTGCTGACCAATAAAAATTCTGAACCAGCAAGTCTCTGGCCTTTGATAAATGCACCAAGATAATGCCAGTACTTGGGTAGTCCTGGAAACACACTTGAAATATTACTGAGTGGAAAACTGAGAAAAATAGGTCATGGCTCTGGTAGTAGGTGTGTATTCATTCCCATGGCAAGTCTAGTAACGTGCTGTATCGCATATGGGCATTCTGATTCCAATACCTGAGTTCCTCAAAGTGACTCATGGTGTGCTGGCTGACTTCCAGGAATGTGAAGCCTGAGAAAATAGATCTGGAGGCAGGGGACATCCTTTATGGATAGCTTATATGCTCTTAAACTTGCTTAAGGAATCTCAGAGCATCCCATAATTCAGTAATCATACTAATAATATATTCAAATGCTGGTAACAAATTTCATGGGTGGGACTTTGGAGGAGGTAAGTTAAATAAATAGTTTTGATTGAAAGGAAAAGTTCTTTTCTTCTCATTAAATAGTGGATGAAGCAGAAAGTGGCATGTAGACATAAAGGACAGGGTAAACAAGATGATAGAGGATAGGAAGTATGGGTAGACAGGCTGAAATACTGAGAAGAGACTGAGATGGAGAAAGGGAATGGAAAGTGTACAAAGATGACTTGTGTGAGTTTTCATTGGGGATTAATCATACCTGGTTTGATTTTCTGGAATAATAGCATCACTATATAAAGTTATTGCACACGGAACTGCTTTTTTTTAAAACTTTTTTTTAAATTTTTATTTATTTATGACAGTCACACACAGAGAGAGAGGCAGAGACACAGGCAGAGGGAGAAGCAGGCTCCATGCACCGGGAGTCCGACGTGGGATTCGATCCCGGGTCTCCAGGATCGCGCCCTGGGCCAAAGGCAGGCGCTATACCGCTGCGCCACCCAGGGATCCCCCACGGAACTGCTTTTTATTTTATCTTTTTTATAATTATTTTTTAAAGATTTTATCTATTTAATCACGATAGACATAGAGAGAGAGAGAGAGAGGCAGAGACACAGGCAGAGGGAGAAGCAGGCTCCACACAGGGAGCCCAACACGGGATTCGATCCTGGGTCTTCAGGATCACACCCTGGGCCAAAGGCAGGCGCCAAACCGCTGCACCACCCAGGGATCCACAAGAACTGCTTTTTAAAGTACAGAATTCTCTAGAAATACAAAGACATGTAATATTTATTACACTAAATAAATAACATGTGGACGACAAACGGTGCATTGAATTAGGTTTGTACTAAGTCAACAGCCTCTGACTGCTGATCAGATACACTCTTATCTGTAGTCCACGGGATTTTTCGTACATAGCATAGGATATTAGAAATAACACTAGCCATGTCTTAAAAGTTAGGGTTGTTGGGAACATGTCTTGGGTTTATGAGAGTTGGTACTCCTCATGTTCATTTGGCCAGAGTGAGAATGAGTAAAAGTAGATGAGAATATAAGTGATGGTGGAGTTTCCCTTCTCTCAGCCAAGTGATCTTCCCTTTCCCAGCAGCCTCCTTAGTGCTCCCTTTACCTCCCTATTTCTCAGAGTGTAGATGAGAGGGTTCACCATTGGTGTGACCACAGAGTAGAAGAGGGAAATGAATTTGCCCTGGTCCTGGTTGCTGGTCTTAGCTGGAAGGAGATACCCATAGATAGCTGAGCCATAGAAGAGCAACACCACCACCAGATGTGAGAGGCACGTATTAAAGGCCTTTCTCTGTCCCTCGACTGAGTGGATCTTCAGCACTGCCTGAGCTATGTAGCAGTAGGAGATCAGGATGACACTTAGTGGGACAGCAGTGAAGAAGGTGCAGACACCATTGAGCACAACCTCATTGAGACTCGTGTCTCCACAGGCCAGTTTGATCATGGCAGGTACCTCACACAGGAAGTTGTCCACCCTCCGGTGCCCACATAAGGGGAGCTGCAGAGTGAACGTTGACTGGATCACAGAGTTGCTCAAGCCACCCAGCCATGCAATGGCAGCCAGCAGCCAGCAGAGCCGAGGGTTCATGATGGTGGTGTAGTGCAGGGGCCGGCAAACTGCCACATAGCGGTCAAACGCCATCACCACAAGCAGGATACACTCAGTGGCCCCTAGCCAGAGGAAAACATAGAGCTGGGTCACACAGCCACCATAGCTTATGGTCTTATCTGGTCCCCATAAGTTGATCAGCATTTGCGGGACTGAGCTAGTAGTAAAAGCAAGGTCCAGGGTGGAGAGGTTGCTGAGGAAGAAGTACATGGGAGTATGGAGCCGGGCATCCAGCCAGGAAAGCAGGATAATGGTTGAGTTCCCAAGCAGAGTCAGTAAGTAAGAGAAGAGAATGACCATGAAAAAGATTATCTCCAGCTGGGGATGGTCAGATATACCCATCAGAACGAAACCCTCCAGGAAGCTGTCGTTGGCCTCTGGCATTCTGACTGTGCTCTTTCACTTGAAGAATCTGTCCAGGGAAAACCGCTGAGAAAAAGCAAGTAAGAAGAAGGTATTAGATAAGGCTGCTCTGCATCAGAGAGGGTCTGATAGTTTTCTGGGCATCATATTTAGGTACCAATTTAATGTTTGTGACTACAAACATTGACTGCAATCCCCGACCACTGTCTCACATGAGTGGAAACTTTACCCCTTCCAGTGTGAACTGTGAGCTGTTGCAGAATGAAAGAAGTGCCTTATGAAGAACAAAAGGATTAGAGATCTTCAGTTCAGCAAAGTGGTTACAACAGGGTAGAGGGAGTTGACCATTGGAATTACATGTAGAAAGTCTTAAAGTACACATTTACCAAGCCAAAGTTTTGAACTGTTCATGGGTGGAAGTAGACCCACTATATTTGGAAAAGCTCTCCAGAAGTTTCTGATAAACATTTCCCCATCTCTGCCAAATCCCTCCCCTCCCAGGTGAAAACCAGCGATCTACAAAGATGGAATTATGGAAGAATATGATGAGTCAATTAAATTATGGCAAAAAGTGAAAAGAGAGAATATATACTTATCAACTACAGAAGATACAAACATGTAAGTTAAGACGAGGTAAAAAAAAAATAAGACGAGGTAAAATAAGGATAAATAAAACTTCACATAAACCTAGTAAGTTTAGTTGGAACAGGCTAAAGAAATAAATAGCAGTTATCCAAAGGGGGTTAAAATGCTTAAAGGGTACCAATTATTAGTAAAAGACTGGATGATTTCAGAGGGATCCTTGATGCTTTGAGTTATACGACCACCATCCCCAGTATAAACTGTAGAGTAATTCTAACATCTCACAAATATTAGATCTTGTTAATTAGGGCCAATAGCATCCTTCTGTCAATCCAGGTCAGGGATGATAAGGATTTCACAGGATGTTTCAACCTTCCTTCAACCTCTACCTTATACCTCAAGTGGAATTAGCTTTATCCTTTTCATTTAAAACTTAATGGAGCTGAGAAACTGAGCTACCATCTGATAGTGAGCCCATATTTCAGTTTAGAAGGTTTTTCTGAAATCCATCTCATACCTCCAGTAGTAGAAGTGTTTTTCCTCTTGTATCCATGTAGGAGGAAGAAACAGGCAGACACTGCCCATCACCCTCCTTTTTTTTTTTTTTTATTCATGAGAGACACAGAGAAGTCAGAGACATAGGCAGAGAGAGAAGCAGGCTCCATGGAGGGAGCCTGATGTGGGACTCGATCCCAGGACTCCAGGATCACACCCTGGGCTGAAGGCAGGTGCTTATCCGCTGAGCCACCCAGGCGTCTCCCCCTCCTTTTTTAAGATTTTATTTATTTATTCATGAGAGACAGAGATAGGCAGTCATAGGCAGAGAGTGAAGCAGGCTCCGTGGAGGGAGCCTGATGTGGGACTTGATCCTGGGAGTCCAAGATCACACCACCCATATTCTTCCATTAACTGTCTGGTAATTGGGTTCTTGATGCTTTGTGGCAGGTTAGGGATGCCAGAATGTCCTTCAGATGGTGCTCTGTGCATATGGAATGGGTTTTACCCAGGAACAAACCAACCAAAACAGAAAAGGAAAAGCCGTACCTAGAGTGGGAAGCTATCAACTTTGGTCACCAGACAATTCAGAAGGAAATGCCAGAACAGCCAGATTCTTGGCCTGAGCTTGACAAACTCCCCAAGGCAGCAGGACTGTAGCCTCAGGGTTATATTCAGCAACTCAGCTGCTCTTCAGGGTGTTTTCCTCCCTCAAAGGGTCTCTTCCCTTGGTTCTTACTTCTCCCATAATTTAGGAATGTTAAATTGATGCAGCACTACTTGCATTTTAAGAGGAACCTAGAGAGAATATGGAATGCAAAGGGCACGCCACTTATGGGGCACTTTTGCCAGGGGCATGCCGAGATAGGGGCTGTTTGGGTACAGAATGAGTTTCAGGAATGGCTCATATGATGATGGGTAGATGGTTTCCATCTTGGCCTGGCTGTGAATTTGGTTTGAATGTTCAGGATATTGAGAAAAGCAGCCACGACTTGTGTCCCAATTAGAATCCCGAATATTGTAATTGTCCACCTTCACCAAGTTTTCTGCCTGCTTCTCCTCTCAATTTCGCAACTGTGAACTGACTACTCGTGGATTAGGTGTCACAGCTGGACTTGGGCTGGGCCGCCTCCTATCATCAAAATTGCCCCTGAGCTCCCAGTTCTCAGCATCCAAGCTTTGCTTTAATAATAGCCTGAGGAAATTAAAGGGGAAGGGAATCATCAAAAGCAAGGAAACAAGCCCAATTCTAAATTCCCAATCCTGGTAGAGGAGTTTTGAGATATGTTTTAAATATTTCATTTATCTGGGAGATGGTTGGCAGTGATATACCAGAGAGCTCAGTTTGTGCCGGACTCTGCACGGAAGTTCAAAGTTAATCTTTCTTGAGCTCATGGTCAGAATGGGAAATGGGGTTTTCAGTGGAGAGTAAGATCGAGGCAGTATGGCAGACGAGAACCACAACACAACACAAACTGTGTAGATGAGAGAGTCTGAGATGAAATACGGACAAAATCTCTCCAGTCAGAAAGTGTAAGGTATTTGATGAGGTGAACAGGAATTTTATCCCCAAAGCTCAGAATTCGAGATTTAGAGATAAACGAGTTTGAATCTTAAAAGAGGTAAAATAGGACCAGTAAACCAAACGGTAACATAGTTCAAACTAAAGTTTTGGAAATAGTTACACCAAAGAGGCATCACAGTTAAGAAAAAAATACTTAAATTTAAGAAACGCCTGGGTGGCTCAGCATTTGAGCGTTTGGCATTGGCTCAGGAGGTGATTCCAGGATTGAATCCTACCATCGGGCTCCTTGCACAGAGTCTGCTTCTCCCTCTGCCTGTGTCTCTGCCTCTCTCTCTGTGTTTCATAAATAAATAAAATCTTTTTAAAACATTTAAGGTAAACTTATAAAGAGAAATTAAGGGAATAAATGCTGTCTGGAGGGGACTTTAACTTTAGTTAAAGTCAGGAAAGACAATCACACTCCCTTAAAATTCGTTTCTGATGCTACTATTAGAACAAAAATCCTGGCTGCATGGACCTGAGCGTGGTTCAAGTGGCAGCAGTTGTAATGAGCATAGGATCTCATCAAGGGCTAAATGTATGGTGGCATATCACATAGGTATACAAACTCAGAATGGAAATGTCTGGGTAGCATGGTATTCCAGGAGTAGCTCTCCAGTCTACATCTGTCTGCAAGCTGACAGCAGTTTGCCATGGGTGTCACCAAGGGAAAGCAGAGTGTTTGACATGAGGGCCAGGAGGGCTGCTCTCTGCCATGCAGTGCCCAGGCAGTTTCCTAGTGGAAGGTCTTACCTCATTTTCCTGATGGCTTAAGAGACATGGAGCATGTGCTGATTTTTACAGAGGAGGGAGCAGGATGAAATAGTTCCCATGGAGAATGGCCATACATTCCTTCTTTTAACAAGTGATTAAAGCAGGTGTGGTTTTGTTTTCTCTTCCAGTTAAGGTCTTCACAATCCTGAGGGGATTTTATTTTTTATTTTTTAAAAAATATTTATTTATTTATTTATTCATGATAGACACACACACACACACACACACACAGAGAGAGAGAGAGAGAGAGAGGCAGAGACACAGGCAGAGGGAGAAGCAGGCTCCATGCTGGGAGCCTGACTACTGAGGGCATTTTAAAGATGTGTCCATGCACAGCAGGTGCTCTCTTTATTTGTGAAAAGCAAAATGGGCTTAAGTTAAAAGCAAGAGAAATTATGACTGCACATTTTGAGATTTCAGCACGATAAAACACCGGTGATTGAGAGGAAGGTGTGCCTAGAAATTTGTGTGCCTGAGGGCTATACCCAAGTCTTCCCAGACCTCCTTCTGTTGAGGACACTGTTCCTAGGACTGGAGTGCATGCTAAAGAATTTTGTTTCTTTATTCTCATCAGACTAAGACTTTCCCAGCTCCTCTCCTGGATCATCATACAAATGACTTTGTTAAAGAGTCCGTCATTTGTAGCTTTACAATTTCTCTTCATAGTTCAAATAGGTTTGCTTCCTGTCTCTTCTCACAGCTGATGGAGAAGGTCACAGATGGGCTTGGGGCTCTAAGGCCATGTCACCTCCAACCCTTCTTCTGCGGGAAGATTGCAAAATCACCTCTAAAAAGCCATACATTTCACACTCTCTTTTCTCTCTCCTTTCCCCATGTTTGTTCCCCCTTTGCCTCTCATATACCTGAAGTCTCTATTAATGAAAGTGTTCAGATTGTTCGAGGAAATATACCTTTGGCTTCAGGAAGCTGCTGAATCCATCACACCATCCCTGGTGGACCACGAAGGAGAGAGAGAGAGGAATTAGTGAGGAGACTGAACTGTGCAGGGTCTCCTCAGCCCACTAGTTGGGAGCACAGGCTTTTATCTCTGGGGCTGGTGCTGGCCATCTGAGGAGCACTGGATCTGCCTCCTGGAAGCCCGACTGGCTCTGGCTCATTCTACAGAGCCCAAGGGGTCACACTGGTTCCCCATAGATAATTGGCACAAAGCATTTGTGTGGCCACCACATGGGGAAAAGGCTGTCCCCGAAGAACCCACTCCATCTTTCACCTCAGTCCCGCCCCAAAGACACACTACTAATTGAATAGTAGTAAGAATAACCACATTCCTTAACTAATTACTAGTGATACATATATTTATCCTGCTCAAGGTACATTCGTATGATCTAACTCAGTTCTTAAAATGCTTTCTGGGGCACCCGGCTGGCTCAGTTGGAGCATAGGACTCCTGATCTCAGGGTTGTGCATTCAAGAGTCCCACTTTGGGTGTAGAGATTGCTTAAAAAGAAAATCTTTAAAATGCTTTCTATGGCAGTTGGAGCAGTGGTCTTATCCTCACTGTGTAGTTGGGTAAACTGAGCATGAAGTGGTTATATGACATGCTTAGTATTAAACAGCAGTCAGCCCAGTGTTTGTTTCCTCACTG